AAAAAAAAAAAAAAAAAAAAAACACTACAAACTTTGTGTAGCAATCAAAAACAAGTTACATGGGTTGAAAGAACATGGAATTTATTCATTTATTAGGAACTTGAAATGAGATAGGCTTTTAGTATGCTACATAATTTTTTTGTTACACCTCTCAAATATTACTTAAATTTAGTGGAATTTAATTTTGGCGTATATTATAGATCAGATGAAAATGTAATGTCCCACATTGGTTAATTTAGGGAATGATCATATGTTTATAATCTAAGAATACACTCTCTATTCGTATGAGCCCTAACTCTAACAATATTATACTATTGTGGAGAGTCATAATCTTCTTACATTATATATATATGACTTAAACAAATTTAAGTGGAGAGTTCATAATCTTCTTACATTATATTCTTACATTATATATATATGAGTTAAATTTAATTAATGTTATATAAATAATTTGACAATGAGACAGCTTTTTTTCGTTGAAGAATTTATTCACTATTATCATTTATTTCATAGCGAAGCACATTTAATTTGAGCATCTAAAATCAACTTGAGTTTATTAAATAGGTAAGTATTATTTTTTCAACTAAATTATTATAAATTCAAAGCATCACCTTAATTTTTTTTAATAAATTATAAATTTTAATTTAATTTTTATAATTTTCTTCTGAATAATTTTTAGTATAACTATTATTAGAGACTAATACGAAAGAACAAAAATTAAATTCGAACTTTATTAACACTTTTTTTTTAAAAATTGTCATATTACAAGAAAGTAAATATATAAATATTAAAAAAAAAAGTACAGAAAAAGGAACGGTGTCCATCAAATGCCAAAAATAAAATAATATAAAAGCTGCCTAAATGCATCCAGCTGTCCACTCCTAAAATGCCTTTTAAACTTTTAAAATAATAAATTTCTAATATTTTAAAACTAACCATTTAATAAAGTTAAATAGATTTAAAAATTACAATAGAAAAAGTTGGTATTCATGAACTATGCCTTTCCCACTCCGAATCTGACTCCACTTTCACTATTGCTTTAAGCCCTCTTCGTCTCTGCTTCCAAAAATATATAATTAGAACAGTGAGAATATTTATATTCATAAAATTCCCAAAGAAAATATAAATATAAACTAATTAAATATTAAAAATAAAACATATACTATAAATTAAATATAAATATAAATATAAAGTAAAGAATATTAGATATAAGGTAAAAGATATATTCCGTAACTAAATATATTCTTTAGATATTATATCTATTATTATATATATATATTTATTTATTTATTTTATTTTATAGTTTTTTTTTTTTTTTTAATAAAGAAATAAATACCTTTTTAGACATCTTTTCCCTGACTTCGTATCTGTCCAGCGTTAGATCACACAGCCACGTCCCTGGGCTCACCAGCTGCCTCCATTTTTTTTATACAAATATATATCAACTCATTAAATAATACCCTCAACTTCATATTTATTACACAACTACCCTTCCCTTAGTACCCTCCAATCAAAGCTCTCCACGTGTTTTACACCCTTCCATTGCCACTCAAAATTATAATTTAATTTCAATTATTTACTTATTACCGTTAATAATAAATAATAATAATAATATGAAAATTAAAAAGCAAGTAAGAATCTGGGGTGGGTTAGGTATGCTTACATTGATGGTGCGTTGAATAATTTTGGGCCGTTTTTTAGGTCTGAGAGGCAGCTTACACCCTTTGATCGCCATGAAATCTTCTTCCTTCTCTTTATTCGTTAAGGCTATTACGAACTCCGGCAGCCACACTCCCCCTTCTCCGCTGCCGGACGATGACCCTCCTTCCTTTGTTTCTGATTCACTTCCCCCGCTTTTGTGGTGGTTGCCGTGATTACACGCCGCTCTCTTCTCCGGTGAGCTTATTGATCTGCCGCCGCCGTTGGTATTCCCTCTCATCGCACCCGGAATATCAGAGTTCCTAAATCCAATTTTTAAAAATATATAAAAAATATAAAACAAATCTCATTAAAAAAAAAAAAAAAAAAGAGGCTGAAATTACGGAATTGACCTTGGGGGATTGAATTGGATAGGACTTTTTAAGTGAGTGATGCAGCTTCTATGCCTGGGCTCCTTTTAAAGGAGAGAACCGTCTTTTTCAATGGCAACTCTCCCGGGACCTCTCAGCCATTGGATCTCGAATTTTCTAGGCTATTTGGACGATAGCCAGATCTGCCATCAATGATCCGACGGCTGTTGTTGATTGTTCTATATCTAGAAGGACACGTGGATGAACGGAGGCGTGTCATAATCAACGAGGCTAAATTACATAATTTTTAAAAAGGTTTCACAAATAACAAATCTAATTTAACAGACACAAAATATGATAATTATTATTATCATTTAAACAAAAAGTTAAAAATCGGTTGTTGTTGTAGATTTAAATATCCATTTACAAACTCAGCTTATGGTGGTTCATTATAATCTTGTCTTGATCGGTTCTAATGACATGTCGGTTCACGCAACTTAAAGCTTTGTGAACTAATGTACTTGTAACAGGGACGAGCGAAACATTTCTTCCTCTACTATAAAACCTAAGTGGGACTATCTGATAGGACCAAACATGCAAGCTAGAGTACACCGAGGGTATAAGAAAAAAGCAAATCTACTAGAGATTGAGAAGGAATTAAAAAAAATCAAACCGTCAACCGAAATTCGGTGATTGGATCTAAAAGCTTTAATTGAGGAGGTAGATCCTCTAAATAAGAGATAGTGGAAGTGAGGCACTCCCAAATTTCAAAATATAGATTACAACACTTAAGAGTAATCCAATATAATATTTAGATACCTATTGATCGTGGTGGATTGACTTCAATGGTGCTTTAGATAAGAAGAGATGGAAAGGGAGTTTGTGGGTTATATTACACACTTCAATAATAAAGCTCTTTGGATCGAAGGATACGCTAATGGAACAGCACTGATTATCATAACAACTAGATTGGAAGAAAAAAGACTCCTTGAATTCATAGGTAAGAAACAACCTACCACTTATATTGAGTTCATAAGGCCAACCTCTAGTTGAAATCAGTAAAGTTTCATTTCTTATAAACAGATGCAATACAGCAATGCAATAACCCTTCTTATATGCCTTTGTTTCTTTTTCTTACATGATGCCATGTGGTTGTATTTACAAATAACCATTCTGGATCCATTTTGAATACATTTGATATAAACAATGGTGATAGAAGCGTACTTTCAAATCAGATAAGTGGGGCTTGGTTTCATCATCATCAAGCAGTGAAGCCCTTGTGCAGAGAACTCCATGGACCCGAGGGGACGCTTACACAAGCTTGCGCCGAAGCCTCCGCCATCTGCTCCTTGCTGATCCCAGCATTGCAGAAGTTTGCGAAGGACCTCATGTGTTTCATTCCGTATTGGGAGAGGGATCCACAGCGTGCCTCAAAGCTCCTGACCTGTATGCATATCACATCACTTCGGAATGACACAGCTTACAATGAATAAAACACAAGTAAAGATCATTGATGCGTAATCTCTTCGTTACAAGCCATCAAGAAAGAAAGAGGAAATAAGCGAATCCGGTTATATCGACTTTGTACCATATCCTTAAGACAGTCCCAGTCGTTGACAAGGGGTTGTCCGGTGGGTCGGATGGCATTGAGCACCTCAGGACCTTTTTCAATTCCAAATAGCACCTTTCCAATTAGCTTCACACTGTTGTCGATATGAACTCTGTGGGCCATTGCTTCCACAAACTTCTTCTGAGCTTCAACTTTCTTGGTGGTGCCTTCAGGAGCTTTGCGAAACTAAAATCAATAACAGGCAATGGCTATATTAGAAATGTGACAAAGTGGTGTAGCAATTAAATTGCCATTGAAGTCCGCAGATTTGAACTTGTAACAGATAGCAAATAACAAACACCATCTGAACTGTGCACTTATCACAATTTAAACTCAAGGAAATAAGAATTTGGTAATCCTCAGAATATCTCGTTTTTTACAGTCTACCAAATAGTGTTCAAATATTATCAATTCTAAAATGGAAAAAGAAGAAACTAACCCTTTCCCAAAAGTGGACAAGATCAGCGTCACGCTGATTGGTAACTTTTGCTGTTGGCCTCAAAGAGTTCTCCTCGACAAAAGTATTGTTCTCATTAGCAGGATCAGTACCCAGATATGAGGACAAAGCGTCCTTGCTGAGCGTTAGATCACCATATTGCATGACATGAGAACCATAAGCATAATTGGCATTTAGCGTCTTTTGCTTCACCTGAAGAAACCAGCAGTTATGTCAGGCTCTTTTTAATGCCGAGCGTAAATGGAAAATTTTGTGTTTTGATCAACATACACTGAAGTATCCTTTCGCCTTAATTGTATAATTTTTGCATTTTCTAAGGATGAAATGTTCAAGAAGCAAAAAATTCATTTTTAAGAACCATCAGAATTAAATTTAAACTCATAGGAGTTTTAACTTCTCCTAAAACAGTAATCCATGGTTTCTTACCAGTTCATATTGTTGGCGTAAAGTTTCCGTCTTCAAATTGTGATTATCACTGTTTACAGACCAAAGTAAAAACCATGAGGTTCTGGATAGATTAATATTTGAATTCATACCTGAATCATGTAGAAAATAAATTAATCATCAAAGTAACCATAATCTCATAGTCCCAGCTTTTGGATCTAAGAATTTTACGATATTCTTTCTTCAGCTAGGCTGAATGAATGCTAGATGCCAAAAGTATGATGGTGCTGTACACTACCAATGAGTACAGAGAAGTGAGAACAAATGCCCAAAACTGAAGTTGCACGACAAAAAGAATATTACCTATCGATATTGATATCATTTTTTTAGTCTAAAGTTAAAATAATTGAGAACAGAGTATACTACAACAATAGAGGCAAGTTTATTATTTATCTTTTACCTGTCTTCCAACCAAGAAATACTGTACAAGTCACCCAAGCAAGTATCATACTCTGGTGGAGGACTAGGATAATCCCCTGGACAATAAGTACCCCAACTGCTCTCATAAGCATTTGATGCGGTGGTTGTATAAATGTTCAAACCTTTGGGAAGAAGGCCTTCAAAGATACTTCCCGATTCACAAGCTTCAAGATAGAATACCTACAATATTAAGTAGAGTCCCATTACATAATGACATTCTAAGAATAGTTGCAGTCTCAAGCGATGAACAGTTCAATAATTTACCAGACTTTTGTAGGATCCAGAAGCATGCTTCTTCTTTAAAACGTCATTAAGATCATCAGCATACATATAGGGATAAGTAGGCATCCCTGGGAAAAATGTATCACAGAGATGAGAAATTTCTATCCATTATCAAGTAATAAAACTAGTTATTTTGAAGATGAGGAATTTATCATGAATAATGACCTTTTATCATTGCTCTTACAATAATAATGACAAAGTGAATTAATTACAACAAATATAAAAAATCAGAGCGCAAATTTCATTTTTTTACGTTGCAAAGGATCAAAGGCCTTTTTTTTTTTTTTTTTTTTTTACCCG